TTTAGGTGCACAAAATTGAGCAGAAAGTACGGAGAGTTCCCGTGTACTCCCTGCCCCCACACATGGGGGTACTGTCACGAGCCTCAGTTTTCTCATCTGTGCAATCGGGGAAATAACGATCTCCTGCTCACAGGTACAAATGAGGTAATGTAGTTGGGTCCTACCGTGTCGTAAGTGCTTACCACACAGTGGCTACTTTATCCTCTTGCCTGTGGCCCCTCTGATGCTGACCTTTGTCTCAGGTGACAGGAACACCCTCGAAAGGCTTTGATGAGAAGGCGTACCTGGCAGCCAAGCAGCTGAAGCCTGGAGAGGACCCCTACAGACAGCATGCCTTCAACCAGCTGGAGAGCGACAAGCTGAGCCCTGACCGGCCCATCCGGGACACCCGCCATTACAGGTGTGGCCTCCATTGTGCCGGTGGAGAAAGAAAGGTGGAGGGAAGGGCCAGCACCAGTTGGCTTTTCTTTCAGTCATGTGGATTTAAGAAATGAGGAAGATTTCCTCAGACTTGGTCCAGCTATTGAGACATTCAAACCCTTACCATCTGTCGTTTTCCTGACTCACCTTTATTTCACTGACCTCCTGAGAGCCTGAGAGGTCCAAGGAGACTTCCCAGCGAGGCCAGAGAGGCCCCTAAATACCTCAGGCTGGAATCCCAGCAAGAGTGACCTGCCAGGGGACCACGGGGGGGGTCTGAAGGGGGTGGGCTAGCCTGGCGTTCTTGGTGCCCGTCTGGTGATGTCTGAGGTGAAGAGGGGCCGCCAGCCCTGCCTGCACTGTGCAAACAGTAGAGTGCTGTGCACCGCCCCACTGGTATCCCTTTCCTTCCTCTCTTCCTGCCCCACTGCCACCACTTCTTCAGCAATTCCCAGAAATGCTCGGCAGTCTTGCTCTTCGTTCTCCCAGAGTGGTAGGTGGGAGAGGCCCTAGACCAGGATCAAGGACACCTTCCGTGCTGATCCCAGCTCCGACTCTGCTCAGTGTGAGCGGGCAAGTCATCAGCCCCCTCCCTGGTTCAGGCCCTCGTAGTGTCCCGTCTGGAGGATACGAGTCTCCACCTTCAATCTCTCCTCTTGCCATAATGAAAAAGCAGTCACCGCCGGAATAGTCAGAGAGCAATTGTAATAAAGAAGATTGCCATGAGAACTAGCACTGCGGCTGCCTTCCCGCCGCGGCCCCAGGAGCACCAATAAATGCATTCACAGAAGCATTCGCAGAACCGACAAGGATGAAGCCTGGCAAGGATGGATCATTTTAATTCCCTTTTCTGAGCATGGGGAAGCCAATGGGCCCAAAATGTGGTGTCTGGAGAAGGCGGAGCGCAGAGCTGCTGGGCGAGGGAGTGAGGTAGGGGGAAGTGCCTTTGGTGTCTCCGCAGAGACTCGGTTTCCCCTAGGTGTCCCAGGGCCCATGGGAAGAGTGAGGCTGCTCCCCTGCCTGGTGTCACCAGGTGGCTGTTAATGGTGGCAGCGAGAGGGAGGAATTCGCGGGAGGGCAGGATGGGAACGATTCCTCTCCAGATCCCACCAGATGTCAGGAGCCGCTACACCCGAAGGAGGAAGCCACAGGGTGTCAGAGACAAAGAGAGGCCATTTCCCCTCTTCCCCCCTCCGCCATTCTGTCTCTCTTGGCTGCCCCATCGGGCAGGGAGTTCTGTCTGTTGGTCCGGGGCTTGATCCTGGGGCCTGTGTGGTGCCTATACACGTCGATCCCTCCTCAGCACTTCAGTGACTGTGGGGCTCCGAGTGCTCTAGGTCTTTTGTAAAGAGCATCCAGGCCTGGGAAGGTCCCCCAACCTGTGCTTCCCTCCAAGGACTCCAGGCTGGGCGGTCTGAGTGGGGTGGGCATGGGTGTGGAGGCCCAGGGCCCACGCCTGGCTTCAGGGGGCAGCAGGCTGGACAAAGAGAAGCTTAAGCCTGCCCTGAGATCACTCTCTCAGCTGCCCTCTGACCTCTCTGCTGTCTTCTCAGTTGCCCATCCGTGTCCTATTCCTCGGACTTGCCGGCCACCAGCGTCATCATCACCTTCCACAACGAAGCCCGCTCTACCCTCCTGCGCACGGTGAAAAGGTAAGCCCCACCTTGGACCTTTCATCTCCGTGGTGCTGTTTCCCCAGGCCTCGGGGATCTGCCGGGCCCTGGCAGGGGAGGACACTGAGACTGGGTGCTGTGGCCAGACGGCGTGAAGACCAGCGGGCACTGGCAGGGGGGGTTCTGCCCTTCTGAGAGGCTGAGGCTGGTGCATCAGGGTCAGGGAGATCCAAGAAGTCCAACTGTTAGCGAGATGCACGAACACAAGGTCAGGTCCCCAGGACTCGGGCAGAAATGCAGGGGTCAGGAGCCCAGGGCGGTGGGGACGGACGTGAGGCCTCAGGTGGATGGATGCCAGCCCAGTAGGCACCTGTCAGCGATTCAGAGAGCGGTGCCCCTCCTGTTCTCCTAAGCTTGGCCCTGTGGTCAAGTTTGACTTCTACTCACCTCATTTCTTAATGAACTTAGATAATAATAGGATTCGGGGGCTTCCCTGGTGGCGCAGTGGTGGAGAGTCCGCCTGCC